TATAAATATTTCCAAAATACTGGATAAATTATTTAATTATTGTATAATTAACCTTGTTAAAGATTGTTATCAATTAATGGTTTAGAGATAAACATATTTTTGAAATGTATCAAATTTTATTGGTTCATATATAGAGAATTGAGAATATTTTGCATATAAGAAATACATTAAAGCAAAACCAGAATTTGAACTCTGCTTTCATATGACTTTAATTATGTTAAACGTTAAACCAGTGATTGATTGCCTATTTATAAATGATAACCTAATAATTTTAAGAATGAGTAGTAGGTAAATGTTAGCGATTTTTAAATTTGTCATATAAATTGAATATTATGCTGGTTAAAATTAAATAATAATACAATTAAATCAACCATATATGAGACAGCAACATACAAAAAGATGACATGAACTATATGAGTAGCATAAAAGTTAATACTACTGTACTTTCAATGCTATGCAGTCATACAGTATACTATGTAAGCAGAGTTCATGTCATCTTTTGGTGCATATCTCAAATCAAGTTAAAATAAAGTATTTTTCACTAATTTAGCAAATACAGTAATTAATTAAAGATTCACTGTCAAAATATATTATTATTGTAAATATAATTTTTTAACCAACATAATACTCAATTTATACGATGAATTTTAAAATCTCTAACCTTTACCCACTATTATTAGTAGGATGCAATTTATAAATAACCTTTCACTGTATTAAACAGTACTGATCAGTTATATCGTATAACTTATATGAAAGCAAAATTGAAATGCGGGGTTTGCTTGAATGCCTCATAATGTAAGGACTGACCACATGTTGTGTATCGCACTCATTGTGTGGGACGTATAGTAAATAGGTTTGTCGTCCGTCTCCGCGAACCCGACACCGACTGTCTGAACCCCCGGCCACTACCACTCCACGGAAAGGCTCACTGAAGTTCATACCAATTACTGTCTCTTCGGGTTCACACCGGAGTACAACTGTATGACCACATCATCACACAAACAGTCATTCATTAATATTCATATAATTTGTGCACAAATAATATTTAAATAATTTATATTATAATTTATTATAACTTATATTTCTAATAATTGCTTAAAATTTAAGCCTTAAATAGTCTCTTTCTTTATAACTCTGCTGTACACCTAAATTATTATTAAATTAAAATTAAAACAAACTAATTGATAATTATTTATTAGAGAAAACATTTGTACTGTATTAAACTACTTTATAAGATTATAAGATTATATAGTTTGTTAATAATAGAAATAAAAATAATGCCAAAATCTACCTATAATTATATGATATAATGATGAGTTTTACATAAAATCCTACATAATATGTTCATATGTTCACTAGCGTTGCCAGACCACCTCCATTCTGGAGAACAGTCCTCCAGTGGCACAGTTCTCCAGAGGGGTTGTGGAGGGTAATCAAATGTCCCCCACAAGAATTTGTTCAAATAAATTTTAATTTTCTTGTCAATCTTTGACATAATTTTTATGAATTATGATAAATACATGTATTATCCAAATTTTAATTCATAAATTATGAATAATTTAATTTCATTATTACTTTAAACCTAGAAATTATAATTTATATGGAATATTCATGGAGGACCGGATTATTGTGATAATTGTGATATCATATACAGTATAATAAAAATCTCTTACTTATAAATTCTAGGAATAGTGCTAAATATTCAGTATACGGTACACTCAAATAGAGTTCAACTTATTTGTTAACTAGATTTTAACTTTTTATTTTAATATATTTTATAAGTTAATATTTCAATAAAAAAGTCAAGTAATTTTGGAGGACGTAGTTTTGATCAGGTATAATTTTAATTGTCTCATGTGACAGAAAATATATTTATTTTCAAACATTTCCATATAAAGAAATAGAAGAATTACTGTAATTGAATTTAATTTTATGTGAAAATATTCTATAATAAATAAATTGAAATGATAAATGATCCCTAATGTTATAACTTTTGTCCTCCAAAAGTCTTCCAAGAAAATTCCTGATTTTACCACCTGTCCTCCAATCTCGGAAAAGTCGTGGCAACGCTAATATTCACCCCCTTTAATCATGAATATGTGTAATACGCAGGGACAAATAAAATAATATGGCCTAGTAACTACATTGTATTGTACGGTATAATAATCTGATTGCAAATTCTGCATTCAATTGATTAGATGTAATTGAACCAAATAATTGTTTTGATGTGCTTTTTATAAAATGTGACAGCTCATATACAGTAATCATATAATCAAAATGCTAACTATTGCCAATTGATTAAGAAACAGTATAACAGTATAATTGATTACCTTTGACCTTATCATCTATGAATTCACTGGTGACCAGACCGTCATCACGGCTTTCATTGGCTCTAATGAATGGACGTCTTCTCTCAAACCTATTTTTATGGCCATTTGAATGATTATTATTAAACGGGTGTTGGGTTTGGCTGAGGACAGCATAAATCTATACAATTGTCAGATCCATCATTATATTATTGGGTCATTAGCTTATCAATTACTATACAGTATATTTGTAATATATGTTATGCACTTTTCACTTTATTTCTTATTTAAAATATTTATAAAATCATAAATAATTTTACAAATACAATTAGAAATAACTAGCTACTATAAATTATTTATTAAGTACTCTTTTAAAAATTCATATAATTAATTTAAAATAGTTAGATTTTAGGTCCTAGAGTCTAGGATCTTTGAAGTTTTATAATATTGTATTACATATTATAACTTAAGTGTACTTACTATATTTAATGACAATATAATTACAATTGAGTTACTCATCATGTTTTAAATATTTAAAACAACTTTCTTGACTTTAAATAAAAGCGAACTTGGTAAAATATGAGTAAATAGTGAACACTCATTCACTCATACGATCAAATACTTGTGCGCACTCTTAGCACTCATACCACACAATCCTTAACCATCAGTGAAAGTCAAGATAATTAGTGTTCAAACAATACAAAAACACCATAATAACCATAATATTCAATATTACACTACAAACACTTTTTTCATAAATCACAATTCAGTTATTCATTCACAATCATTTAGTATACTATAAACACTTAATTGACGAGAAACTCATTTGATTTGAATGAATAAATGATTGGGAGTTAGAGTACAGTATATGATATAGAGAAGTGAGCTGGACAATTTGATAAGTTATGGGGCAGTGGTATGAAGAGATCACCATCTTTGGTCCAATAAACCAACTATAGAGTCATTCCACTCGAACTAAGGGTTGGCACTAATGTTGTCCACAATTGACATTTGATTGCTATATGAAAGACTAGTTATAAACCGGTTCCCTGTCCTTAATGCTACCAATACTACATATGAAGTATACCGTAGAATATTTGGGCACCACTTCTATGCAGTCAAATACAATCGACACAACAAATGCTAAACTAAGAGAATATAATTTTTGATCACAATTATTGTTATAATGCAATGCATTTGTTGCACATTACTTTGAATATTGTTTTGAATACTAGTTTAGCTTAAGAGTAATTCTACTATATTTATACAATTAATTGATATGTTGTTATTGAGGGGCAGAATAGAGTTGAATGTATTTGTGTTGACAAATGTATTGATTTCATTGCAAGTGATCAGTGAAGTGGAGGCACGAGTGAAACGATGCTATGTTTGCCGCTCCAGAGGACCGCTCGGCGACTGTGAGTACAGACCAGCCATTTAATGCCACAAACAATACATTTCCATTCAATTATCTTTCCGTACAAAATACACATAATTATTGCAATTTAGGTCACCATTTCTTACTACATGTATATAAGGCATCCATATATCCATATTAGTGTGCAGGTGTCTCGTACTTACATGCATTTCGTGTTTTTAATGGTGTCAGGGATTTATCAGACATTGTATTCACAACTATGTTCTTCAAGTTCATTAAATCACTTTCACATCATTTCTAATCATATGTTTCAACAGTCATTGTATTGATGTTTGCATGGTATGAATGCAGAGTAGAAATATACCTTTTGTTTTTGTGTATAATAAGTACACGTATTCTTATAAATTGAATAAGTTTTACATTCACCACACAATCAATTGTTATAGGAATTGCTAATTAGTAATAATAATATTAATGTTATACATTGTATTGTTTATCATTTAATACAGCATATAATCATTGATTGCTTTCAAATGGTTAGGTAGAGATGCGTTTGAATTGAACACAACAACTGTGGAAGAATCAGCTGTGGAGGCACAGCCATGTGCCAGTGGTTAGTACAGTACCCGTGAAGTACAGTATAACTAACTGTAATATACAGTATTATGATTGACTTAATATCTATATATTGGTATATTCATGTATATGTATATATTGATGGAAAGGCTGGTGCGGCAAATCAATTGAAGGGGAAGATGAAGGACAGCACCTGATGGCCACCGAAAGGATGTGTTTGCAAAGACCTCCGAGCGATCAGAAGGAGAGATGCGCTCAAACTTTTTATGGGAATAAGAAGAAGACATTTTTTATGTGCTTCTGTAGAGGAGATCTTTGTAATGCTGGACAACCACTACATCCAACATACCTGTCCGTCCACGTAGTCATCTTCAGTCTCATATATTTGCCAACATTTTACTCATAAGTCTTATAGACTTGAAAATGAGCCCAAATTGTTGTATAATTGAATTGAATTGCAATATAAGAAATCCTGATTCAATATATTTTATATACAATATGTATGTATTTAATTTAATATTTATTTAAATAAAAAATTATTTAAACTTATTTGAACTTAATTTTAGCGAATATATTTATAATTATGTATCAATTAAACACAACAACAAATACAGTTTTAAATGAGAAATTCAATAGATTAATATTTATTGCAGTGATTTTGACACAAATTTATTATATTAATATAACTCATTACTAACTTAAAACGATTTGATAGTACTGCTAATTAAAGCCGATATACATATACATACATGTATATATGTATTTATAATATACAAAAAGATCAATCGATGAATAAAAATGAATGACTATTGATAAATAATTTTACATTGAAAGCAAATTTACTCATTCAAACTAATAAAAGTTTTCAAACTTAGCTTACATTCATCACAAATTATTTATCAATAGTCATTCATTTTTATTCATCGATTGATCTTTTTTGTATATTATAAATACATATATTGAGTTTATAAGATGCAAATAAATCAATTGATGAATAAAAATGGTGAATAAAAGTTTATTAGTTTGAATGAGTAAACCCTTTTTTTAATGTAAAATTTTTATGAATAGTCACCATTTTTATTCATCGATTGATTTATTTGCATCTTATAAACTCGTATACATTTAGTTGGTGTATTGAGTGGTCTGTATTTTGAATGATAGTCATTGTCCAACTGCCCAATTGTCCTTGGTTATGTTTGATTTGTTGATAATATGATTTATGTTGTTATAACGAGCCATCCCTATAGAGACGTTTGGGAGCTCTGTTGAGATTGTCCGCAGGTATTGCCATTAATTTCCTTCAATATTATATTTAATAAATAATTGTCAGCAATAATGTTTTAACAGTAATTAATATCAGTTAAATAAAACATAATTTATAACAAAAAATTTATGTTAAACAAATTTTAATTGTTTTGAACAAAAAAATTAGATTAAAGTTAGCGATTAGATTAGAAGTATTGTAGTTTCAAAATAATGATTCATTATTTGGATGAACATCGAGTGAAACACACTTTTGTTGAGTTTGTTTTGTTGAGTTAAATGCAAAACAAGATTACAATACAATTTGAATGTGAAAGCAATGATAAGATATGATATAAATGTAATGCAATATTCTTTACACTAATCTATGTTTATGTCATCATATCGTGAAAACACATCAAAACCAATAAATATAAGATATTTATGTTTTGCTGATTAGTTTATCACAACTTTAACACAAATTTCATGATTATTTGATTCTAATCTTATATTTATTTACAATAATAGTTAGATTTTATATACGAGAATCTGTTCAAACATTTCTACAGTATTATATAATTTCTATTGCACAGTATTATATACTAATCTAGTATAATATTTTCATTAAAATATACAGTATAATCATATAAAATTTGCAATCTATAAGTTTAGATGTTTTTTGAGTTATTGATAGTCCTATAGATAACACATTTCAAACAACTCTTATCATTATGTGAATGACATTTTGTAATATCCTATCGCACCAATGATTGGTATCTACGGATATAAGATATATTTGATAGATATAATATAATAATCAGATGCTATGTTCTATGTTATCAACTAAACACAAAACTCATTTCAAATGATATTTCTTTGAAAACAGCTGAGAATGAGTTATGAAAAGAAATAAATAATAAAATGATTTATTGATACAATAATAGTGTTTATAATATTTGAAGGAACAAACAAAACTTGACAGAAATATTACACATTATTAATACAGAGCTGTAGTGTATCTATAGTACAGGTAAATGAATAAATTCTTACTTGTATGGTATGTATGCAAGAATTGGGTGTAAATGTGCTTTTCTTAAGGCGATGAATGTTTACTAATGACTGAATTGACTGAAATGGGGACCGAATTGACAGAATTATTTTGCTTTGGTTTTCGTTTTCGTGTTTGAATGCCTTCTTTCCTCATCGCAAGCGGACGGTTCACCTGACAGTCATAAATGAATTCAATTCAACGTTCACTACATTCACTGCATTTATATATTATAATATCAATGACAGACAAACCGTGCAATCAATATGAATATGAATATAGAAAGTATAGAATATATAAAATAGTAAAATAGAGATGAAATGTAGAGATAAGTGATAATTGATTTGATGTTTACGTTATGCAACTTATAGTAGAGGCCACAGGCGTTACACACGGGTTCGCCCTCATTATTCCTCCGCCACAGAGTGGTTGTCGTTGTGCCACAGTTTGAACAACAAAGACCCAGACGACGACTCGCTGCCTACCATTAGGACATCACAAGCAAACACAATCACAAAATCAGACACATATCACACCAATATATCATTACATCGTTACATCGCTACACAATACTCTACCATATATTGTCACATACTATTGATAGACATGAAAAATGGACACAATTTAAGCACACATTTACATGGATTTGTAAACCCTAAAATTGAACTTTAGACTTAATAACTTAAATACAGAAGTTAATCTAAATCATAATGAGTTTTTCCTGAATGCACTACAAATTGACAATTAAATTTATAAATTTTAATTCGCTTAAAGATGCACTTAATGGACTGATTGGTGTATTAATCTATAAATAATAAAAGGGCTAATAAACAGAATAATTGTCAGCAATTGCTTAAACAAAAAATTAAGTAATGCTTATTAGATAGGGGTTTGTGAATACTAATTGTGTTTAACAGAGGAGCGAAAGTAATGGAGGCCATGGAGTTGTGAATATAATTTATAAAAATAATAAAAGAGTAGCATGTAGTAAATAGTAGTAAATAGTAGTAACAGAAATAGTAATAAACTAAATGAATATCTAAATTATATGATTGTGTGATTATATGTCTAATAATAAGCAGTACAAAACAGTACAGTATCGGTATTACAGGGATTACTGTATGTAATGATATGCAATAATAGGAAATACTAACTAATCTTCTCTGAGGTTTGATGAGTGGTCTGCGCGCGCCATTCATCTTGTGATATAAGCCACAGGCGTTGCACAGGTAGTGTCCGGTGCCGTCTCTGCGCCATAAAGGCGTCGAAATAGCGCCACAATTAACGCATTCGCGGCCTTCGCTGAAATGTGCGGCATATGCGGGCGGAGCGACTGCCGCCCCATGACTGCCATGACTGGGCCCTACAGCTGATGGAGCGGAATCTGAAATGTGGGGACAGGTATGCAGACATGAGAGTCAATATGATTGCATGGCTTGCGTGACACAATAACATTAATTGAAAATTGTATTTGAAATACATTTGACAGTCATTTCCATAGTAACTGTCATTCAATAGACATGTTATGTGTTTTGCGGTCAAAATAATATCATATTTAAAGTAATCTCATGTCTGATGTGACACATACCTGATCTGCGAAAGGCTGCCTGACTGGCGGCCAGTCCTGCCTGAAAGCCGGCAGTGGCCGCGTCTATCCTTCCGAGACCGGCGGCCGCACTGGGGTCTAGCCGTCCGGCCCACGCACACGCAGCCGCCGCCGCCTCATACGAGTACGGGTGCAGACCATTCATGGCTGCGTTCCTAAAGTATGCCGTCTCTGTCGCACCCCTCGCACAGGCGCCTCCTATGCCTCCTATGCCCGTCGGACTCGAAGACGCAGATATAGAACACGACGCCGACGACCCCCCGCCTGTCACTCCTGGCACTGCCGACTGACACAACATTTAATTAAATCAATACTTATATCAGATATGAAAACAAATCTATTCATAGCAATACGAAACACACTCACAAACTATAACATGAAATATATGTAAGCTTTTGCTTATGGAGAACGTGTTTAATGTAAGCTCTATGGTCACGTTCCCTGAATGTAGCTTGCACATATGTATTTGGAATTATTACTAGTGATACTGTACAGTACACCATGGTTTCTCATGTTTCTATCAATTGAACTTAATATAAAATCTACCATTTATGAGCATCTCTTTTATGTAGTACTTTCTATATCAATCATCATAAATACTGGTATATGAATATTGAATACTTTTCTAAATATACATGTTCAAAATAATGATTAATATTTAAATAGTTAGATAATTTAAAGTTTTTATCATTTGGTTGTGGTAGTATGACCAAGTCGTAAATCCACAATACTGTGTTGTAATTTTAAATAAAATTTGCCAGAAAAATACTTAAAAAGTTTTATTTAGAAAATAAGTTTTGAATAGGCCAGAGCGTTACTGGCAAAGTACGTACGCACTGGTTTGAGTCATGTCAAAGCGTATGTGATCATGCTAACTTCCTATGTAAGATGTGCGGTCTTTGACCAGAATTTGAGTGCTTACTTTGCAAATGACGCCACTCTTACAGTTAGGTTTTACTATTGATGTTTGATTGTAATCAATAAAATTATTTAAAATACTTAATATAATATGAAAGTTATTCATAGTATTTGCCAGTAATCTCTTTGGTTTAACAGTGAAACATTTTGCTTTGTTTATTCAAAATTTTGCATAATTTTATTGAAATTTATAAAAAAGAGTATGACGGGTATATTTTTGGTTTATATGACCATACCTTTCTGTTAACATAATAAGTCATATGAAATAAAGAGTTTACTGTGCCTTTCGTATTCAAATAAAGTATCAATATAAAATATTATTTCAACTCTGCGTTAGAATGACTGAAATAGTGTTAAATAATGTTAAGCAATACTATTCATTCATAGGAAAGCAGAGTTTAAATTCTGGGTTTGCTTCAATACTTCTCATATACAGTATGTGTTATGCTTTACACAAAATGCATAATAAAATAATAATATAGGAGGCGATGAATTGATAGAAACACTACTATAATGTTATGTAATGTACAGTATTTGGAAACAACTACTGCATTCATACAGAGGATCGACTGTTTGGCTATTTATGATAGTACTAAATGTAGTGGTGTTTGGGA